CCGTACTGGACCGGGACCGGCAACGGGATCGCAACCCTCGGTGTTGCTCCCGTGCCTCGCTCAGCCAGTGAGCGGGAACTGGTCTGTATGTGGGATCCGAACCCTCGGCGGGAGCGCCACCGCACTTCCCAATCGGCGCACTATAGCAGTGCGCCACCGGGCCGGCCCGGAATTGTTTTTTAATGCACCCTAACTGGTCATCATGGCCTTGATGCAAGGCAGGGAAGAGGACAGGGCAGGGGCCAGTATTGGGATGAGATCATTGCCATAGTCTTTCAATCTAACACCATCTTAAACATTATTTCTTGTTCAGCTGCAAGTACAGATATAATCCATCTTTTAAAAGTTAAGTCATTTTGTTAGGGGGTAGGTAAAGATGAAGACAATTAAAATATCTCATCAAAATTTGTGACAGTCTTTACACAGTGTATATGTCTATCAAGTCATCATTCATCAAATTCAAGAACACCTTGAATTTATGCAATTTTTGTCAATTAAGTATGTTAAAATAAAAAGTTAAGGTCAAAGCAGTACAGATTTCAACCTTCACTGTGAGCATCAATCATTGTGAATCCACCAGAAGGGACTGTGACAGGAAATGGCAGCAAGGGAGGCCGCCAAGGTGAATGTGCTGAGAGTGCACACCCTCTCGCAGCCGCGAGTGGAAAGCAAGCCTCCCAGAGCAAGCAGGCAAGCCGTCTTCTCGCATCTTCCCACCCCTCCCCACCTCTTCCCCAGTGGAGTCTCTCCTAAAATATACAGAGGTATAATTAAAAGGAATTGTTTTGGGGAGCTAAGGAGTGTTGTCATAGAAAACTAAAAATGTTCCAAAATGAAAAAGGATCATAGCCAAGAGCAGTGCTGTTGGCATATTTGTTTTAAATGTCACAATGTGAAATGTATTACAACAATCAGCAACTTGGTGTGAAGCTTGAAGAATATCTGTAATGCTGTGGAAATGTTACAAAGAGAGTGAAAGAAAACATTTTAAGGAGGAATTCTGAAATATTCACCGTGTTCAGATTTTTAATGGAGCCATTGAGAAGCTTGTTATTTAATAGAGTTCTGTTGAATGTAGTCAAATGGGTGACAATGAGAGGTGGCATACATAGTGTACTGGATAAAAATGCTATTTATTTAAAGTGTTAGAGTGGCCATTATTTTCAAGTACAAAATTTCAACCCTCTTGGTAAACTTAACCTAGAAAGAATAAAATGTTTTAGACTGTTTTTAAGTTTCATTAGGACATAGGGTACTCTCAGAGTTTTGACTTGAGTGTCAAATGTAAAAGCTGGTTTTGACATAGTCACACAAACAAATAAATTTTAAGGTTGTTTCTGTGATTCTTTTCTATTATTGCATACTTGTGTCTAAGGATATGGGGTGGGGGGGGCGGGTGTTATTCCTATTAAGAAAATTGAAAATGAAAAAGAATCCAGGTCACTGTATCGTTGCTGTTTGTATGATGTGAGAGGTAAGATTTTAATCCCACTCTTTAATCTCTGTAAGACTCCAGAAATGGGAGTCATGATTCCCTAACTTGCAGAAGGATTGTAGGATTCAGTGAATAATGTACTGAACTATGCAGGAAAAATAAGTTCTTCATCCATAATAAAAATAAATAAATTTTGTTGCTTGTCCCTTTCCTTCTGGAAAACACATTATACACATATATGAATATGTTGAAATAGATAAAGCCCAACAGATAAAATCCAACATTTATAGGAAGCATAGATTCTCTTAGCCAGAAGGAATCTGAGAGATTATCTGGTTTAGCGATTATTAGCATTTGTTTGGCTTATAGACAACTTTAAGAATTTGATGGAAATTATGGTTCTTTTCTCCCAAAATTACCTCTATTAGCATGTAATTTTATGAAGTTCAAGAACCCCCTGAAACCTATTTTTAACCCCCTCTATTAAGAATCCCCAACTTAATTCAGTTCCCTTCACTTAAAGATGGAGAAATTAAGGAAGATAATTAATATGTTCTTGAGAATTAAAAATTATTTTGAAGACTATTTTCTGAAATCTTTAGTAATTTAAGAATAAAGCATTCATTGGTTATCTGAGCAGTGTTCTCAAACTACAGCTTCATTTTATCTGTGAACTTGCTCTTGTTCACCTTAGTGTGTTACTGACAGAAGAGATATTTGCAGTTCTTCACAAAGTCAAATAAAATGATTTGGGTATTGACTGAATATTCAATATTCATTTCCCCCCGTAATTATACTGTTGCATTCTCAGTAAACATTCATTAAGTACCTGCCATAGTCCAAAGCCTGCACAAGATAAATGCATGAATGAGACCCAGCTTCTGACTTTGGGCACGCAGTTTAGTAACAGGTGCGTGAGCCTGTAATAGGGAAACTCAGAGAGAGAAGCAAGGCATTCAGCCCTAGAACTCTGACAAGGTTCCACAATTGAGGTAGCATTAAAATTGGACCTTGAATGATGAGTAGGAGTTTGCCAAGCAGAGGATCCACATAGCCTAAGTTCATGTGTGTGCAGATTTTACAAAGCATAATATAGTCTTAGTTTGGACTATTTAACTTTAAATTATGCTTATGCAGTAATTAGTGTTAAAAATATATGTTGGTTCATTGAAGACCCATGCCCTAGTTTCTCTAGCTATGCATCATCATTCTCTGAGCCATGTGATCTTCCAAACCCCAGGGCCATACTCCTCTCTGGCCTACAATTTCTAGTCACTCACAGCAGCTCACAAATTCTTCCTTCAAGGTGTCTGTTGCATCTTCCCCTTTTCTATTCCCACTGTCATCTTCCTATACCTCACCATTCTGCTCGACTAGACCCTGACCTATCCTTGTTACACATAATGAACAAATACATTTTCCTAAAATTAATTTATTCTGAGGCCCTGCTAAGAAACATTTGCCAAGTTATCTGTAGAATATAGTCATCCAGTCTGCTTATTACCTTACTCAAAGCCTGCCACGATCACCCACCATTCCCCAGCATGTTCTTACATACAGACGAGGACAAGGCATAGATGTGAAGAGCCCACATCAACTTCAAGTCTTCCCTTCACCACTGTTAGTGTTGCATTTCATCTCTCTTGAGCATGTTTCCTTATCTACAAGTTATATGAATAAAAAAACAAATGACTTAAAGCTGTTAGGAAAATTAGTGTGATAATGCGTGGAAAGTGTCCAGTGTTGTGCCCAACATAATTGGCTCTTGAGAAACTGCAACATTTATAACCATGGTTGCAATTACCTCCCTCCAAAATGCATCTGTGTCATGCGGTGTTTTCTTTTGAAACCCCTTCTTTTACCCAGATCATTTGTTATTCCTTTAGGACCGTGCTTCAGGCTTACCTTCCCCCTGGTGTCTCCCCTAAACCCACCTGCAGTCTCTCCTCACATCTCCTGCCTCACTGATAGTTTGCTTCACATTGTTTCCAAACTTTTCTGAAGGGCCTTGCCTTCCTGACTCAACTATAACAGCTAAAGCTGCCCCCAAATGGAATAGGCTGTCACATGAAGTCATGAGCCTCCTTGACTTCACCCTTGTTTGAGGATGTTGAGGTGTTCATAAGTGGATGGATGTTTCCATAGATGATGTCTAAGGATCCTTTCAGTAGTGATTTTCACATTCTGAGTTGTTTAAGTTCAGGGGTATGTCTTACACTTCCTCCTACTTTGCACAGCTATGAACATATTGTAGGCACACTCAACCTCAGTATTTGGCATTTGACAGGCTGATTTTCCCAAAGAACATTGTACTCTTTGATCCTCGTCTCGGATGAGCAATGGCTTTCTACCCTGTGAGGGAATTTAGTAGTATGTGTACATGGCTTGGGAGTCGGGGGATGTGAACCCCACGTGCATCACAATCTGACCTATAGTGAGCATATAATAAATGTTTAACGAACAAGCACCAACCATAAGCAGTGTTTCCCTGCAGCCCTGTACATCCCTTGGGAACACATTAGGACAGAGCAAATGGAAGAATCTCCTCCAAATTTAAGGCTGAGGTTTTAGGAAGAAGTATGTTGAGAGAAAAGATCTATTGGATTGGGGAAAATAGCTCCTTAAGTTCCACAGAGGAAACTCTTTTACAGGAAATTTGCTTTCCTTTTCTTACAATTTCCTTGCTAGGGCAGAGAGGGATCCTATGAATCTAAGACAGCATTTATCTTTACTGTCTTTATTGGATACTCTGTTCTTCACATTGTTTTGAAACAGTTTCATTACACAGGACACCTCTAATTTCTGCCAGTTTGTTGTAACTTAGAAATCAACTACTTTGCCTTCTTTGTTGATGAATTTCAGGTAGCTGCACTTAATCTTATTGTGGTCTGCCCTTTTTAAAACCAGTTTGGCTTAATGCAGAAAGAACCTTCAACTTCAAAGAACACTTCCTGCCCTCCCCTTCCCCACCTCCCCCAGTTGGAAGGTGGAGTGGGATGGTGGCAGGGAAGTAGGGAAGGAAATCAGTTAATTGCAGCCTGTCAAAGTTGTTTTAGGTGACTTTGTACTTCTTGAATTTAAGATCAACATGAACTATAGACATTTCAGGCTGGGAATTTAATAGCAATAAAAAAAAGCATGGGTTTTGCTAATGCCAGGAGTGACTCATCTAGTGAGAATGGCATTGTATCGATAATACAATACAGAGAGGAAGAAAAGACTGTTGTATCTGCTCTGTTTGTGTTTCTGACCTTGAGGAGAATTATAACTTGTTTGTTGAAGAAGTTGAGCATCTAATGTGCCATTGCACCTGTTCTTATATATTATATGGCAAAGCACTTGCAGTTCCCTGTGATTGCTTTGTGGGTGAAATATTTTCTGCAATCTGGTGAACTGGTTGTTTTTAAAAAATAATGTGTTCATTTGTGTTTCTTACATCTCTTATTTCTCAAAAATATGCTTTCTTATCCTGTTTCAACACTCTGATTTCATCATTATGTCTTAGAATATGTTTGGCTTTGTATTTTCAAGGTAACATTTTGATGATTTTTTTTTTTTAATGTAGAAACCATGAACCAGGCAACTCCTGCTAGAAAGCTGGAAGAGGTCCTTCATCTAGCAGAGCTCTGCATAGAAGTCTTACAGCAGAATGAAGAGCATCACGCAGAGGTGATGACTTGTTTCAACCCTAGTATAAACCTATCCATAATGCTTTGCCATGGTGGGAGCAACACTGAACTAGTGGCCTGACCACAGCCCTGATATATACATCTAGCTATTCACCTGTAGAAAACTAAGAACGTATGTGAATTTCCTGGAAATGTAACTCCTGTGTTACAAAGCAATTGCATGTATGTATCATTTCATGTTATTCCTGACAACAATCATGTTGTAAGGAATATGGGAGGGCTTATGGGATCTGTCCAAGGATGCATAAGTAGTAAGAAGCAAAACTGGAACACAAATTTATCTTGTAATGCCAGATCGCTTGCTTTTTACCCTATGCCATGATTGCTTTAGTTTAAACATGAAAGAAGTTAATCAACATGAGAAAGGAAAATTTGTATTAAACTGTAAGATAAAATTGAATAGAAGACATTCATGATTGTATGGTTGATAACTCTAGTCTTTAACTCTTACCATCAAACTTTTCTTTAAATTAAATTTTCACTAAACCTGCATCGTTTATAATTTTAAAAAGTTCTAATTACATATTAACGTTCATTAGAGATCTTTTCATTAGGATGTCTTTTCACCAAACTGCTTATTCTAAGACTTAAATTCCTGCTCTTTCTAATAGTCATGAGTTTACTTACAAAAACAGGTTTTCTGACTTTGAGTTAGATGGGGGAAATGTGTGGAATTAATAAATATAATAAATTTCAGTGTCCTAACAGTGCTTTATTCTTGACGAAGCACATAAAATGAGCAAGAATAAAATAGACCAGATATATGTATGAATTTGTAGAATATTTGTATTAAAGAAGCCTAGTTCTCAAAAATACAAGAAACTACAGGAACTGCACTTTAAGCCAATTTTTGGAAAAGAGTATTCATGAAACCTTACTGTAGGTAACTAAGATTTATTGTTATCTGGTTATAAATATGATCATTCAAAACATCTGCTTTTAGCTCACACTGTGGAATCTAGTTTTTAGCTTGCATCTGTCATGTGTGAACTTGTTATGGATATTTTATTTTAAACTGAAGAAACAGCTGTTTCAATAATTTGAAATGAATTCCCAGGGGGTTCTTTTCTAGACTAGTACCAGTACTATGTTACAATGAAAATGATTATATGATAAAATATATCTATGTTTTGTCTTTGTCTTTTGTTAAGAGACATTATCATCAGAGTATCAAGCATTTTTGAATTTAAAAAAATTTCTAATTGGATATCCAGTTGCAGTATATATTTCAGTTAAACAGGTACATCTAATATTCCCATACATTTCACAAAAAGTAAAAATTAAATGTTGCTCAATATACTCCATGCAATCACTAGAATGCCTATTAAAGTATAATGTATGCAAACACAATTAAAATATAAATATTATTTAATTTCCAATCCACAGAAATACAATTGACTTTATTGAATAGAGATAACCATAGCTCATAAATATCACTCTGTTATATGCTGAAATACAGAGCTATTATGATGACCTCATTTTAAAATGCTTTGTAACACTATGGCATTTTTCTGTTCCACAATGCTTCCAAATTCTTGGAATTCCTCAGGGAAGAGAGGTGAGTAAAACTGTTTCCACTATTTTTCTAGCATGGGATTACTTTTTATGTGACTTTGAGATAGAACCTACTCTGATTGTAGTTCATTTTAAAGCCAACTTAGTCCCCTCTATGGAATTAGACTGTCCATTTTTCTTTGGGCTAATCTTTGTTATACCATTGAGATGAGTGTGTCTTATTAATAATTGCATGTGTAATTACTGCTGTCCTTCTAAGTAAAACACAGCTGAAGGGATTTTGATATTTTGGTTTTGATTTATGTCTTTGATTTTTTTTTTTTTTTTTTTTTTTTTTTTTGTAACCAGAAGATCTAGCTTTTTCTCTGAACAATATTGGAAAGTGAATTGGCATCATTCCAAAGTCATTTCCAAAGTGAATTGGTGGACTGCACTCTACACTGATATTTATTTTGCTGGTTGTTCAGGCTAGAGTTTCTTTACTCCATGAAAGAGCACCTGGCTCGGCTCCCTTGGTAGGGGTTAATGTATCTGTCTCAAGGAGACCTTGAAGTGGCTCCTGAGTCAACTCCTTGTATTTTCGTTCTGCCTCTCTCCACAGTGGCAGTTTACTTTACAGGACTGAGAGCTTATTTCTATCCGTCAACAATTTCTCAGTTAAGCAGGTTTCATATCCTTCAGATCTTTGACTGTAACTTACTTATAAGGCAGTCTTCCCTTCTTTCTGAAGGCCTGTCGACCTCTCCTTTCAGGCTTTTTTTTTAGAATTCTGTTTTCTTCTTATAAAGATAGTTTTAGCTCCTTTCCAGAAAATCTTAAGGCAGTCTCCACATTTCAGTGACTAGATTTCTGACCAGAAATTTTAGGCAAACTAATCTGACGACTATCCATCTAAAAACCACTCCTTTTGATAAAGCCAAGAAGTCCAAATGCCTGCTGGAGAAGCCATAGGCTCCCACCAGCACACCCCCTCCACACCTACCATTTTAATGATAACAAACCCAGAAGAGCTGAAACTAGCCAGAGGTGCACAGCTAGTTAGTGACTGGGCAAAGACTCAAGCCAGACTCCAGTCCTGGGCATTTTCTGATAAATCACATGGTGGTTTTCCTGTTTATGTAGAATGGCCGGAGTGGTCATCCTGTCCTGCTCTGGTTTGGCTGACAGATTTGACATGCAGCATCATAACAGGCATGTTAATGAGTGGGAGATAATTCCGATGCTATCCTGGAGATGTCCCTTGTACTCTGGCATATCCCAGGAGTCTGACTAAGGGGAGTGGATCACAGAATATCAGTAGAGGGGCTGAGGGGGGGGAAGATGATCAATATGAGCACAGCTCAGATTGTTACTTGTTATTACAGCAAAAATCTTGATTTAAGACCTCTAAAATATTTGAAATATAATATCACCTACTATATCTGTAACACTATATGCAATGAGGTTGTTCGGCAGTAATTCAGTATTTGCGGTGTAGATGGCTCTCAATTCACTGCAAATGGTTGATTGATCCTGCACTTCAGCTGGCTGTGCCCCAGCTGCTCCAGCAACAGAGCCAGAACAGAGAGAGGAGTTTGTATGCTCATTCTCCTAAATACCAGTATTTGAGCCAAATTGTGCTTCTGAACGGATTCTAACATAAAGAGAAAGGATGTTCGATTTTATTTTACATATATTTTTGCTTATTCATGTCCAGATTCCTCTCCACTAGCATGCATGTCTCAGGAATATCTTAAAGTGTGGTTATGCTAAAGAATTGACCATGAATAAAATCTATTTACTATCTACTACTAACTAGATTACAATAATCTCAACATTTGAACTGATATTAATTACATCTTGTTTATATCTGGATAACCAGTGAAATGCTTTTTCTTAGGATGGATTTAAATTTAAGATTATTAGCCTGTAGGTCTGGCTGGTTAGCTTTGTTGGTTAGAGCGTTGTGTTGATAAAAACAAAGTCCAGGGTTCGATCTTTGTTACCTGCTAGCCACCAAAAAAAGGATTATGATAGCCTCTGAACCAAGAAATGTCCCTCATTTTGAAAGAGGATGACCAGTAAGTGGTTTTCATATGGCTAAGGTATAGGGTAGAATCCCATTTGCAGCAGTGACTCTCAAAAGAAATAGCATGAGCATAAATGCCCTACTAAAAACATTTGTTAATCATGTACTATTTTCAAATATGTAGGAATGAGGCTAATGCTTTACATTGACATATGTTTTGAAGTGCTTTCATTCACCATTTCATTTGGTTATTTCAATATTTATGTTTATGTATGAACCTGATTATCAGGGATAAAATCAAAACAGTGAATGAAAAGAGTTAAAAAGAAACTTATGATGATTAGTTTAAGTTTCACCCTGAAGATCTAATCCATTCTACTGGCTCCTTAAAAGAGCTTACATATTCTGAGTATGTCGGTCCTTAGCATCATGTTGTATACATGAGTATGTGTATGTGTGTATGTCAGGCACAGGGGATACCCTAGAGGCTACATTGTCTCAAGCTTGTAGGATCATCTATAAATTACAGGATTGCAAACTAATCTTGCAGAAAAAATAAGCATATAATACATTCCAAGGTCAAGTTCACTGTTTTTGCTGATCCGTGTAGCCATTTTCCTTTTTTTATGTAAATTATAAATTTTTACCATATTTTTAGGATTAAAATGCAGTAATAAAAAAATAGTAATCAAAAGCTTTAGACCTCAAAGAAATCAGACCATGATAGATGTTTCTGGCAACAAGAAATCAGAGGACATTAACAGTGGTCTGATCTGTTAAACAGATTATAGATAATGTGCTTGGCGTACATAGTTACCTAAGAGGCTGTTTGTGTAAGATCTTGTTCTCTAGACCCCAGCTGACCTGGATTCAAATCATTGCTCTGTTACCTACCAAATATATGACTTTGGGCAAGTTATTTAATCTGTGTTTGCTAACGTATAAAATAAGGATAATCGTACCATATGCCTGAAAGAGTTATTTGGAGGATTAAGTAAGATAATGTTTATAAAATCTTTAGAACAGTACTTGGCTTACAGGAGCTATTGGATTCATGTTGGACATTATTATTTTTAAAGCACATAAACTCACATTATAAGATCTGTATGAATTTCAACGTGTTTTTGTAATAACTGATAATATCCATTTATTACATTTGTATAGCAAGAAATTTACTATCCATTTGATTTTTACAACCCTGGGGGCAGTTTGGGCAAGTACTGTTATTGCCAATTTGCAGATAAGGAAACAGAAGTGCACCCAGGGTGCGGCTCTGCCGTGATCACTCACTTCTCACCACTAAGTTCAAAGCTCAGTACTCTGCTTTCAGGTTCAGGATTTATTCTTCCCTGCCACGATTTCCAACTACCTTTGATAAACAAATCAGGCTTGCAAAGTATTGTCAGCCTGCCACATATATATTATTTTCACCGTACAAGACTCATTTATTGTTAGAACTTGGATAGAGATGGTTGGCTAAAGGACTTACAATCAAGTTTTGTTTTATATTTCCCTCTTAAGCAAATTAAACATTGCCTTCTGCCTCTGCCATCTCATTTACACCAATTAGTGGCTTAGCATTACAGCCAAGATAACTTTAACCCAGATAATCATGACTTTTGATTGGTATCCTATAGACTGATGCCTTTCTGAGAAGGGTTTTCTTCTCCCTAGTGGAGACCCTCAGCCACCTCCCATGATGTGGTACTCTAGGGAGGAAATTACATAGCCCCTCTTCTTCCTACCAACCTGTAGTGGGACGACTGCCACCCAGTGGGATGGCAAGAAAGGTAAGGGGACAGGTGGTAGAAATGACCCAGTGTTCTCAAGGTAACTGCAACACTTGCTTTCATTTTCAGACAGTGATTGCTGAAAGTTTTCTCTAGTCATGGTTAGGAGAACAACAGGCATCCATCACAGACTGGCTTATATTCATCAGAAATAACATCATCAGAAGTACAATTTGTGACATAAATATATACTTCTGGAAAACATAATGAAATTTTCCACTTGATGACAATATCTTGTCAACCTGAAGCTGTTGTTTTATATATTTTTTTATTTAATATAACACATATATGTTGTTTTATATATATCATATTTCATTATTTTATATATATATATATGTATATATATATATTCCAATTTATTTCATTCCCCACTCTAACTATGTCTTCCAAGTTAACTTTAAAAAGAACTTTGGGAATTTTTCTCAGAGTCCTGAAGAAATCCTGACCTAACATGACTTATTTTCTTAATTTTAACTTTTTGCAAAGGTATCGACTATGAACTGGAAGTGAGATTTTGAAAATATCTCTCTTTGCAGTACTGCATTTTTACTAGGGTTTCTACACTGCTCTACTCAGAGTGAGGAATCTCAGGTTCTTTTCTTTGTCACCACTACAGCTCCAACAGACAGGAGCAAGATACATATATTGAAATCATGTATACTATTATAATTTTTATATTATTTGACATATAACCATTCTAGTAGATATTTAACCAAAAAGTATTCAAAGATGATATTTGCAAAGAACAATATGTTCAATTTACATAAAGCGAACTATTGCTAACAGGTTTCCACATTCATATATTTGTCATACCTTTGAGCCAGGCATTAAAATGTTCTTCTCCAGTCTATTACTTATATTACACTACTCTTCCTTAAGTCGACTTTTGCTTCCATTTACCATGCTAATTTTTTACATGGCAATGCTTGTATTAATATATTGATGATTATTCTTATAATGTGTATTATTCTAAGACCATATTCACTGTATATGTTTTTAAGAAAGTATTTATTGTATCAAGAATTTTATAATCCCCTTTTTTTGTTTTGTGGTTTGTCTCTTCCTGTTATAATCTAATTTATATTTGAGGAAATTAAATGAAGCTTTACAAACATAAATGTCATATGTTCTTAGAAAATTCTTGAAAGTAAATGTGGACTTCTCTGGCTGTAGTGTGATGATTTTTTTTTTTTGAATGAATAATTTTAACTGGAAGAATAATAAAAATATCACAGAAGCACATATTTTTTGTGGTAATTTGGTTAAAAGATTATGACATTACCAAAAATGGGGAAATGACCCGAAAGACAATTCACCAAAAACAGTATAAATCTGTTTTTATGAAAAGCTGTACAAACTCATTCATAGTTAGAGAAATGCGAAGTAAAACAAAACTGAGATACTAAAGTCAGAGAAGACCACACATTATTTTCAAGAACTCTCTAAAAACTAAGTATTATTTTCACACATCAAAGCAGAGATTTTTTTTTAAAGTGATTTTTTCCGTTACCTAAAAGGCATAAGAAAGTGCCTAGCTGAGCAGAAAGTGATAAATAAAACATACACAAACTGTCCTTATTATGTTTAGAGTCCAATTTAAGAGGCAGACATTAAAATATTCACATGTGTAATCATAAAAGCAGTACTAAGTCCTGTGAAATAAAAATACTCGGTATCAGAGAGACTCTCCGGGAGGACCTAATGTACCCTGGAGTGTCAGGAAGTCCTGCTGTGTAGGAGTGTAGTTTAGACATGGAGCAGGGAGTTCATACAAGGCTTTGTAAGCCATTTAAGGGTTTTGGATTTTACTGTTTGTGCATCGGGAAGCTAAAACGGAGGTTTAAGCAGAGAAATGGTGTGATTCAGTTTACGTTTTAAAATGATGACTGGCTGCTGGGTGGAGAATGGATGGAGCAAGCAGTTTTCCTGGAAAGCAATTTGCAATTTGCAAAGACTCTAAAATATACATGCCCTTTAATCCAGCAATTTTTAGAAATTTATCCTAAGGAAATAATCAATTTTCAAAGATTTTTATATAAAGATGTATATTACATTTTCACTAGAAATGTCAAAAATTTGGAAACTGCCATTTTAATAGTGGTTAAATAAATAATGGTATATTTTACAGTAGGATATTATGCTATCATTGAGAAAGAAATTGTTGGAGAATATTGTTGAATATGATACCAAATGTTTTAATGTTTGTATTCATAGAAAAAACAAATATTGAGGGCCGGCCTGGTGGCACACTGCTGCAGTGCACCGCTTGGGAGTGCGGCAGTGCTCCCGCCGAGGGTTCGGATCCCACATACAGACTGGTTCCCGCTCACTGGCTGAGCGAGGTACGGGCGGAACACCGAGGGTCGCAATCCCGTTGCCGGTCCCGGTCCGGTACGGGCGCGACACTGAGGGTTGCGATCCGTTGCCGGACACGAAAAAAGACAAAAAGGAAAAAAAAAAAAGAAAAAACAAATATTGAAAATAAGTACACCAAAACATTCAGTCGCCATGTTTAAATTATGAGATACCAGAAATTTTCCTTTCTTTTTATTTTGTTTTATATTTTTTCCAAATGTAAATTAAACATGTATTTCTTTTATAAAGCAATAAATGTCACTGTATATTTTAATTCTATCAATACCAAATTATTTAAATACGTATATCTGTAAAATTTCTTCTCACCTTTTAAAAATATTACATTGTTGGGCTGGCCCGGTGGCGCACTCGGTAGAGTGCGGCGCTTGGGAGCGCGGTGGCGCTCCCACCGAGGGTTCGGATCCCATATAGAGACCGGTCCGCTCACTGGTTGAACGCGGTGCAGGCGCAACACTGAGTGTTGCAATCCCGTTGCCGGTCGCAGTACGGGCGCGACACCGAGGGTTGCAATCCCGTTACCGGTCACGAAAAAAGACAAAAAGGAAAAAAATATATATATTACATTGTTTATCATACTTGTTTGTGAAACTAAGACATGCTGTAAAATGTTTTTAAGTGGCAAATTATTTTTTATTTTCTAAAAAGTAATGTATTTCTACTTTGTTTCTTTACCCTTTTATAGGCATTTGCCTGGTGGCCTGATTTATTAGCTGAGCATGCAGAGAAATTTTGGGCTTTATTCACAGTGGATATGGATACTGCGCTGGAGGCTCAACCACAAGACTCCTGGGATAGTTTTCCTCTTTTCCAACTGCTTAATAATTTCCTCAGAAATGACAGTGAGCACTTGCATTTTCTTTAGTGTATGAAATGAGGAGGGTGGGGAGATTGTTATGTATGTGAACGTGTATTTACAGAGCCCTAGCACTGGCCTAACACGTGTTGACATGGGTGACATTAACGTTTGCTCAGCCTCTGATTGTATCAGGCCAGAGGCTGGGGGAAACGAGTGACACTCACACATTGCTCCACTGAGCTCTAAAGTTCCTCTTATTCATACCCTCCTGTCTCCATCGAAGACTGATAACATAAGCACCCTTCTCATTGTCCCTTGTGAGTCAGAAAATCTACAAAGGTTGGCATTTCCAAAGTACTTGAGAATACTTACATCTCTGAGAGATACCTTAGAAATTTCTCATTATTCTAGAATCATGCTATTGTTAAGGCTCTTACTAATATGCATTGTGGGAATACTGTTGGCCTGAGAGTGGATTAATTTCTACGGATGATAGAAAATGGGGCCAGATGTATGGCTTCCTCAGTCAGTATTTAAAAATGAAAGAAAATATAAAAGCTCTCTATTGAGACTTTTTTTCCAATGCAATAATAATTCTTACAATTAACATGGTAGACGGTCTTCTAGCAGCCAGTAGAAACCTAGTTTTCCTCAAGATTTTTAGCACATAGATTCTTGGGCCTTTCCAGATGGGTTTTTTTAGTTTCCCTTAGACTCAAGTTTGGTTACTTCTGACAGCCTTTGGTTCAACACTTGCAGTGACCATGGGGTCACTAATTCCCATTCATTAAAATTCTTCCCATTACAGACCAGGCTGAACCTAACCTCTGGTTCTAATTTGGTCTCCATGATGAATGCAACAGTCTTCTTCTATCACAGATTTTCTTCTCCAACCCATTATTCTCAGACCATTCAACTGTTCCTCACGTGGTAGGGTTTTTATGCTCATTGCCATTCCTATCACCTTCCTCTGAATAGACCACACTCCATTTATCTGTGTTGCTCTGGAGTGTGGTGCTGAGAACACAGTGCTCACCAGGTGACCTGATAACCCAGACCCCATAAAGAGGTGCCTTCCGTCTGCCCTGTCTTCCTGCAGCACAAGGCCACTCTGACTCTCCTAGGAACTTCATTAATGCAGTTGACCCATTTAGAACTTTTTATATTTTAAGACTCCAAATCTTTTTGCTGTTCTTTTTCCAGAAGGCCACTATTGCATCCTTCTAGTTTTAAATGTAAATTCATGTTTTTACATTTTTCTTTGTTTAAAAAAAAAATTACCATATTGGTTTTGTTCATCACTGTAGTCCAATTTTTTACCTTTCTTTGATTGTTCATGTCTTTGAGTCCTGATGAAAGTACAACCATTTTACTAGGAAAAAATTCACATAGATATGAAATTGTGTGTAATATTGTCCTCCCCATGGGCATGCAGGATTGAGGACACCAGGTTAAGAATCTCTGTTCTAGTAAGAGAAGCATCATGTTGTAGTAATTAATAACATGGGCTCTGGTGCCAGACACATTTATGTCTCTCTGCCATTTACCACTTGACCTTTGACAGTGCTTAACCTCTCTAAGCTTCAGGTTCTTCATCTATAACAGGATAATAATAGGACCTACAGTGTCACTAGCAGTGAGCATTAAATAAGATAATAACTCATATAATAGATGCTAAATAAATATTATAGATATTATTAGTCTGTTAAAATTTCACTGTTGATTCTTTCAGTCATCTTATTCATTCTCCAATCCAATTTTATTTCATTTCCAAAAATATTCTATTATAAAGCCAAAGAATTAAGCTACAGTCTTTCTTTAGGTTCAACCACTATGCCTGCTCTCAGAAGTTTTTAATAGCCCCCCATTCATTCCCTCCTGCCAGCTAGTGAACTGAATGACTCTTTTTCTTTCCCAGTCTCCTATCATCATTTATTTTTTGTTAAGAAATCATAAGTCAGATTGAATGTTATCTTAAATGTATAACAATAAACCTCTTGCCAAAATAAATATATGTATTATGTATTAAGTCCTTGAATAAGAATAAATAACTATAGGATTTTTTTCTAACGCTGCTTTCTCCATTTGAATGAAAATTCAAGAATTGATTATATTTAGATTTATGTTGGGGTTTATTCAAAGATGAGGCATTTATTAATGTTCACAATCAAGCAGTTAGTATAGATGATGAATTATTTAACTTATTCAAAATATTAGAATTTATAGAGAAATCAAAATATTTTAGTTTTCTCAGAAATATTCTTAGGGAACCTCCAACTCCAGTGAATTAACATCTTTTTATGTTCATTTTTAAGAAGAGTATTTGCATTGCAAGTGTAAATTTATGGGATACCAAAATGAGAGCTTCAAGAATTTAATTTTTAGCCATATTTGCAAATATTTAATTCATAAGAGTTTCACATTCCTCTCCTGTTTTATATTATTTCTATAACACTGACTACTATTAAATGCATAAAGTATTGTTTTGTGCTATTTTGTTGTACAGTACTCAATCAAAATAGAAAAGCGTCTATTACTGATCTCTTTTGAGCACGGTCAATTTTGAGGCTAAGTGTAGATCTTGGCTTTGATTTTGCATCAATTAACAGATTTTAGAAAACATCAATTATTTCTGGAAAAAACAGCTCCTCCATGTAGTGAGGTAAATACAAAAGTTCCCCAGTGCCATAATTTCCTTTTGGTACTAAGAATATGGTGTAATCTAGGGAATTGAAATAGAATGCAGTGACTTTCATCCCAAACTCTCAAGTTACTATCCAAAACCAAGACCACTGAGTAATATCTCAGTCGTTGATAAAACATGATTTTTCTAGCTATTAATATCACCCTTGATGGTAATGAACAGTATTGTTAATAATTATGTGCTTGTTTTATTGAATTCCTCAGATACTCAGATGGTGATTTAATAAATTTGATGAAAATGTTTTATGTCGATCTATACCTACCCCCAAATTGTCCTTTTGGAAAATTATGGGAAAATATTGAACTTATGTCCTTTTAGCCCCTCTTGAAAAAAGGATCCTTATATTGTGACCATGGCATTACAGTTTTTACTGTATTGCCCAATAAGAGTTATGGTCCAAATTCAAATTAATTACAGCTTTAACTAGCCATAGGGCAATAGGAACAGAAAGTTCTGAATGTCCATTCTTGGAAAGGGAGATGATTTGCTGAATATCAGTGCTTGCCTACAGAAGTATAAACGTGTGTGTGTGTGTGTGTGTGTGTGTGTCATACAAGGTGTGTTGCTAATTCTATATAGATTTTAAAGGGTTGTGATTTATTACGTATAATTTGGCATATTTATGTTTGCTTTCCAAAAATTTAAAATTACTAAGCCCCCTCAAACTAATGGAGATATGGGTTAGAATTTGTATTTATATGTGGCTTGAAAACTTTATAGCTGAGTTGGGGTTTTTTTTGTTTTGTTTTCCGTGAATAATTCAGATATTCTCATTGGTTATTTACCATCTTTTTTTTAATTGTTAAAATCTTTATGTTTGATATTTTAAAATGGGTATTTATCTTTTGGAGTGTGGAGGAGATCTTAAACAAACCTCTTCATTTTCCAGCTGAGGAAACCAAATTCCTAAGAGACAGTAAGCCTGGGCAGGGGATTGTGACAGGGAATTAGGGACAGAGGTGAATTGGAGCCTGATCAATTGGTCTCCAGTTCAGTCTCGTTCCATAGTAACAAAAGCACATTCTGGCAGCATTTGTAAAAAATATAATATTTTTAAGGAAGATATAGGATTCCTTAAACTTTTATTTTTACCTCATAAAATATTTATAAGGCATTGAGTTGCAGGGGCAAAGGAAGAGAGTTGGTTGAAGAATACAGAGAGGATCAGATAAAGAAATGCATTGTCTTAGCATATATGTTAGGAAACATGTAACAAGACTTCCAGAGACTGAACTAATTAGTGGGGAAAGGGACTCAACACAGCAAATTCAGTTTCTATTTTAAGGAAGAAAAAATATTCTGTCTGGGGTGCGTGTCTTTCCTTATAGTTAGCCATGATTAGGGAAAGTCGTACCTTTAAGAACCCCTGGAGATGAAATGTGGTTTTCCTCAAGGGAACAGTACCAGCTGCACCACAATTTTAGCAACTGTCCCCAATCTCCCACCCTTCACAGACTCACCCACAGATTCCCAGAGCAAGACTGATGATGAAAACAAACTCAGGCTTCTTCATTTCTGGCCAAAAAGACTGAGCTCCCACTTGCCTCTTCACCCTGCCTCCGTCCACCTGCTCCACTCCCCCCAACTAAAGAGATAATTAGATGGGCAGTCACTTTAAATGGTACCTAAGGAAACAATTTTGAAAGAGAGATATTTAAAAATTGAGGGAAAATAAATGTTTTCATAATGAAGCAATTATTATGATAGCTAAGTGATACTGAATGACTTGTAAAGCTAGTACAAATAGATTCTACCCTTACATGCCGTTTTCCACAATTGTCTTGTCTATAATAGATATGGCAAGTGACCTCTTCTTCTGACAAATGGAAGTCATCTGCAAATGGCACAAATAATTTCTTTCAGCTCTACTGAAAGGCAAACCCTTGGAGCTAGTCACCTTTTAATCTGTGGATATGCTAGCAAGTGGCAAATGACCATTCTATTGGGAACTGATTCCCAAGTGAAAAATGCCACGGTGCTTCTTCTTTAATTAACAGCCTTTTCACATTGCTAGCACATTAAAGCCATCCTGAAGAACACCCCTGCTTATATAATCAATGTCACAGCGTCTCTGCCTAAATGAATAATAAATGTTCGAGCTCCATGCTAAGTGAAAACCTGTTCTCCAAGACTTTCACCTTCATAAATATGGGCTCATAAAAATCGAAAAAGGAAAAATTGGAATGTGGTCTCATGAGGATAAAAAGGCTAGTGTTAATAATTAACAAGGAGAGTGAAGTGGAGTCAAATTAACCATAATAGAGCCCAGAGTGACTGGCAAAGTCACCTCTCATTATCAAAAAACTCATTAAGAAATGAAGAGGTGGAAATCCCACTGG